GTCCATTTAATAATACAATATCAATTTAGTATAATATACAAATTGGTTATTGCATTTAGTAATAGAGGTAAATGCAGTGAAGTGTTAATCATATTTACTAATAATTTGTAATGCACCAACATATTCTGCAGCACTGTACAATGACTAGATAACTAGATAATTATAAATAATAATTCAACATCTATCAATTTCTTCATATTGTTTATCCTATAAGCTTTCACGCAAGGCTACAATTAACAAATACGTGCAGCTAATCCGCCTACCGCGGAAAAGGAGTGATGTTCCAACAAACACCCCTTGCAGTGTAGCTGGATGGGGAAGGCTCAATAATCAAAATAAAACTGGCACTGACATCTTATTTGAAACCAACATCAACATTTTAAGTCGGAGAACGTGTCGAACTACTGTTCCAATGCTGAATGATGGGATGATCTGTGCAGGGAACACAGAAGAGGAAAACGATGCTAGTCAGGTACAGCTTCAAAATATACAATTTTTTTTGTAAAAAAAAAAAAGCTAAATGTGCAGTAGCTTTTGTACTATTAATCACGGTTGGTGTATAGAGAGTAAATGTAGCCTCTGAATCTCTATGTCTTATTACGAAACAAATAATGCTATATATATATAGGATGTAGAGCACGCCCTTCTCAGTTTCCCGCAGTGATGTCGGGAGACGGAATATGACGTCGCTCTGGCTCCCGGCATCACTGCGGCGCACAAGGGAGCTGAGCAGGGAGAGCTTACACTCAGTGCTCCCACACTGCCTGTTCTCCCCCAGGCCCACTAGACCCCAGGTAAGAAACCAACCCAGTCTGTGTGTGTGTGTGTGTAAATGTATGGCTGTCTGTGTATATAGGTGTATGGCTGTCTGTGTGTATAGGTTTATGGATGTTTGTGTATGGCTGTCTGTATGTATGGCTGTCTGTGTGTATAGATGTATGGCTGTGTGTGTGTGGCTATCTGTGTGTATAGGTGTATGGCTGTGTGTATGGCTTTCTGTATGTGTGGCTGTGTGTGTGTGTGTGTGTGTGTGTATGGTTGTCTGTGTGTATAGGTGTATGCCTGTCTGTATGTATGGCTGTATGTGTGTCTGTCTGTGTGTATAGTTATATGGCTGGCTGTGTGTATAGGCATATGGCTGTCTGTGTGTCTGGCTGTCTGAGTGTCTGGCTGTCTGTGTGTATGTCTGTGTGTATGGCAGTCTGTGTGTATGGCAGTCTGTGTGTATGGCTGTCTGCGTGCATGGCTGTCTGTGTGCATGGATGTCACTGTGTGTGTGTGTGAGTGTGTCTGTCAGTAAGTGAGTCTGTGTGTGTGTGTGTGTGTGTGTGTCTGTAAGGGAGCCTGTGTGTCTGTCAGTGAATGTGTGTGTGTGTTGGAGTGATTCTGTGTGTCTGTCAGTGTGTGTGTATGTCTGTCAGTGAGTGTGTCTCAATGAGTGTCTGTGAGGATTTCAAGGAGTAACTAGAGGATCCGCTTTTTTAAGGTGCGGTTTGGGCCATTGGGGGTATGCCAGAGGCTGGACTCCAGACACTGCTTGTTGGATGTTTTTTTTAAATGTATTTATTTATTTTTAAACAGGGGCAGGGGTTTAGTAGACAGGGGGACTGGGATATAGAAACGAGGGGAGGCTAGGATTTAGTAGACAGGGGGGGACTGGGATTTAGTAGACAAGGGGAGGCTAGAGTTTAGTAGACAAGGTGGGGCTGGGGTTTAGTAGAGAGGATGAAAATTTATGGGGGTTTTTTGCGGCCCACATAAACTTAAACCTTGTTTATTTGGCCCTTGCTAGCCTTTGAGTTTGACATGCTTGATGTAGAGTGTTACGGTACCTTCAGCATCAAAATGTACAAACCGCCGTTTAGTGAATGCTCCCCGTTCGCAATAATGTAGGCTGTAAGCGTATCCAATACAACCATGCGAACCGCCAGCAAGGGAACACTCCAAACTCCCGAACGGTATCCGTACGGTCACTTCCCTCCACGAGCCTCAAGCTCACGAACCGCCAATATCAGCCGAACCCCGGTATCTCCCAAGCGGCTGATAATTCCAAATAGCAGTCTCTAGTCACCAGTAATAAAGTCCCCCCAATAACGAGACCAAGCTCCGCATTGAGGGTAAAACACGAACTGAGTTTACTGTGGGCTACCCGCCCGTATTTATGCAGGTCTCCCAGGGCTCGAATCCTGCAGGAAACGCATGGGAACGGCGTTCCTGCACTTTTTCCAAAGCAGGAACGCCATTCCTGTTACCTGTCCTGCAGGACCGGCCCTGCTACCTGCACACAGGGTCCAGCACACGCTGAGTTCCCTCTCCAGCTATAACTCTCGCGAGACCCGCTGCTGCTACCATGGCAACGCTCCGCACAGGCGAGTCTCGTGAGAGTTAGAGCTGGAGAGGGAACACAGCGTGTGATGGCCCCTCTGTGCAGCGGCTGGTTCCATCCACCGGACCACCAGGTGATCTCCCCCCTCCCTGACAAGGTAAGAAGCAGGGAGGGGGGAATAAAATAAAAAAAAATATGCATACACATAAAGTTTAAAAAAAATGCTCCCCCCCCACACATCATCCAGCACACACACACACCCATCATCCAGCACTCACACACCCATCATCCAGCACTCACACCAATCATCCAGCACTCACACAGCAATCATCCAAGACACACACACACCCATCATCCAGCACTCACACACACACATCATCCAGCACTCACACACACCCATCATCCAGCACACACACACCCATCATCCAGCACTCACACACCCATCATCCAGCACACACACACCCATCATCCAGCACTCACACACACATTATCCAGCACTCACACACACATCATCCAGCACTCACACACACATCATCCAGCACACGCACACACATCATCCAGCACACGCACACACATCATCCAGCACATGCACACACATCATCCAGCACTCGCACACACATCATCCAGCACTCACACACACACACATCATCCAGCACTCACACACACATCATCCAGCACACACACACACATCATCCAACACACACACACATCATCCAGCACACACACACACATCATCCAGCACTCACACACACATCATCCAACACACACACACATCATCCAGCACACACACACACATCATCCAGCACTCACACACACACATCATCCAGCACTCACACACACATCATCCAGCACACTCACACACATCATCCAGCACTCACACATCATTCAGCACTCACACATCATTCAGCACTCACACACCCATCATCCAGCACACACACATCATCCAGCCATCCAGCACTCACACACCCATCATCCAGCACACGCATTAATTCGTATCTCCATTATACACACTCTCACCATCATACAAACACACTAAGTATCACCAAACCTTCACTACAAACACTTACATCTACTATACACCCCTCTGCATCTACTATACACACTCTGCAGCACTCACTACACACCTCACATTCACTATACACACTCTGCATTCAAACACACTATACCGTATTCATTGTACACACTGCACTCTACCACAAACACACTACATTCATTAGTACACTCTGCACTCACTACAAACACACACTACATTCACTATACACACTCTGCATTCACTACAAACACACTACATACACTGCATTCATTGTACACACTGCACTCACTACAAACACACTAAATTCATTATACACAATTTGCACTTACTACAAACACACTACATTATTATACACACTGCACTCACTATAAATACACTACATCTGCATTATACACACTGCACTCACTACAAACACTACATTTCATTATACACACTGCACTCACTACAAATACACTACATTTATTATTCACACTGCACTCACTACAAACACACTACATTCATTATACACACCCTGCACTGCACTATATGCATAGGAGTGTAATTTAATTTTTTTTTTTTTTTTAAGGGGGGGGGGGGGAATCTTGGGTGAGTTCCCACACTTTTTTCCCCAGGACTTGACCCCTGAGGTCTCCCACTTAGTGGACACTCCCCTAGGGGACCAAATGGGAGACTGGAATAGCAGATGGACATATGGCATTTCAGGACACACAATATTCCCAGCATACATCACAGTTTCCTCCCCTCGGCCCGGGAGATAATTGAGAAGTAATTCAATTATCTCCCACAGCAGAGGCAAATCGCCATTTTAAATACAAATCATAAAACACATAAAAATATATAACTGCCGAACGTTTCTCATTCGTGTAACACATCCCCAGATAGCCTGGATCTGAGTGCATATTATTGGCGCATAGCGCTCAGATCCCATACGCATAGTTCAATTGCCATGGAGTCAAAGTCTATTACAGTTCTTCGGTATGCGATTGACTCCATGGGAAGGCTATCTGGGGTAAGTCCATTCATGCCTTTCAAACTCCCGAATGGCCGGTGTTCACACACTTCTGTCGATTAGAGAAGGGAGGTCAACGGCATCAGCGGTGTTCGGTTGAAAAAGTGTCCGTTTTCAGTTCCATGAATTTAGTACCGAACACCGCTGGTCTTTCGCATGGTTTAAAATGGCCGCCGCCTCGTGGTCGACATACGAACGATGACCACCCTGTATTTGGTTTTAATTGAGAAGTGTCTGTGGTTAACCGCAACGTTCTAATTGGGATCAATAGGTTAACCAGCAGCACACTTCTCTTCTGGGTGGCTGTCCGTTTGACAGTTTTGTTCGGTAAAAAAGTCAATTCACTTAAATCCAGGCATACGAATGGGGGCGTTTGTGAAACAAGCAAACAGACGAACCCAGCAATCTTAGTTCATACGGATGGGTCTGTCACATAGAGGTTAAAAGGCTATTATCCATATGAGAAATCTATTGTGTGGTAAATAATCAGAACTCTGTAAAAACATCTAAGCAAGTAAACCCAAATCAAGAACCAATTAAATAACCTTTTGTAACATGCATTAGTAACTTCACACCCTTTAAAATTTTTGCATCCATTTTTTTTAAAGCAGAACACATTGTTAAATGTGTTAGCTTACAGTTCTGGAGCAATGACCAAACATATAGACCTATACACAAACAACTTCTGCCACATACCAGAGCTCAATTGCCCCAGTCTGCTTCAATTTCAAAATAGCAGACATCCATATTTATTATAGTGTTAGTAAAAAAATAAATAATCATAATTTAATTAAAGAACATGTTTTTGGGGAGAGGTTCATTTTTAGTTCCCTCCAGGCAACGAGGAGCTCTGTATATGTATTTTCATATGTAGAAATTGTATAGGCATACATACAATCTAACAACACATACAATATATGTATATACTCTATTTGGATAAAAGTATTGGGACACTCCTCTTAACTGTGGAATTCAAGTGTTTCAATCACCCATTGCCACACGTATGACATCAAGCAGCTAGCAATACAGTCTGCATTTACTAACACTTGTGAAAAAATTGGTCATTTTGAATAGCTAAGTGATATCCAAGTGTGGTACTCTGTTAGGATGCCACCTTTGCAACAAGTCAGTATGTAAAATGTCCTCCATGATAGCTTTTCTACGGTCATCTGTAAGTGGTATTATTGGAAAGTGGAAGTGTTTAGGAACAGCTGCAACTCAGCCACGAAGCAGAAGACCATGTAAAGTGACAGAGTGTGGTCACCGCATGCTAAGGTGCATAAAAGTCACCAAAGCTCTGCTGATTCAATAGCTGAAGAGTTTCACATTACCACTGGCATTAATATCAGCGCAAATACTGTGGAGCAGGAGCCTAATGGCTGAGCAGCTGCATGCAAACATCACATCTTGAAGTACAATGCTAAGCATTAGTTCTAGAGGTTAAAGAATGCAACCACTGGACTCTGGAGCAGTCCTCCTCTGTTTTGCAGTCTGATGGGTGATTCTGGGTTAGGTGAATGCCACGAAAATGTTACCTGCTTGACTGCATTGTGCCAACTGTAAAGTTTGGTGGAGGAGTGATAATGGTATGGGGCTGTATTGCAGTCATACTTGCAATACAAATGTCGGTATTTTTCTCAGTATAAACTGAGATTAGGCTGCAATACCACCGCTGTGTGTGTGGAGAGAAACGAGGATAGGAAGTTACAGCATCTTCCTCCTTGCCTCTCTCTAGAGTCCAGCCAGCAGCTCAGGTACATGAGGAATGGGGGAGACAACTGGAAGGGCAGTCTATATGAGGTAACACAGGGGGATCAGAGACTCATACATATGGAGACACAGAGACAAAGTGACAATAGGGGCACATGGGGACACCGGGGCACACAGAGACATGGGGACACAGACACAAGGGGACACTGAGACACAAGAAGAGAAATGAGGACACTAGGACATGGGGACTGGGGGATCCTGGGAGACACAGACATAGCTCCGCCTCCAAGGGTTACGCAAGCGTGTGTGTGATGTCACAACGTCGATGCACATGCATGTTCTGGGGTCAGAGGAGGGATATTTAAACCTCTGAGGTTTCCTAGCCCATTGCCCTGTCGTGGTTTCAGTCCCTGGTTCCTGAGAGTGTGTTTTCCTTGTTCTTGTTATTTGATCTTCCCGGTCTCTTGATTTTGGCTATTCCTGAATACTTTTATGTTTTGTTTCCTTGACATGGCTTTCCTTATCGAACTCGTGTATTTCTGACTTCCTTGACCTTGGCTTTCCCTTGACCATTCACTGTCTTTCAACGTATTAACCTGGCCATTCTAAGGACCGGTTTACGTTCTGTCTATCTTCTATAGCCTATGTAGATGTTACATAGTTTTGCATGTTGGATCACACTGGTAGTCGCGACACATACATACTGACATACACAGACACATAGCTAATTTTTCTTTCCCTTTTGTTTTGCAGGAGGGTGGCTGGGGCTGATGGGAGTTGGCGTGGCTCTCCCTTCCTCACGGCCTGTCTCTCTTCCCTCCCGTGTGGAGGGAGCTGGGAGGAAGTGACCGGTCGTCACTCCCCGCACTACTTGCGGCTGTAATTCTTTTAAAGGGGCCCGGTCGTGCTATTGCACAGCCGCAGCGCTGACCGTGCCCCTGTAAATATAATATCCATTGGGTGGCCCTAAATGCTTGGATATGTATATATGACATTCTTAAAATGTGTCAATTCCTTTTATTACCATCTCCTGCTGCCATGTTTGTTTGTTTTTATATGCAAGCCTCTGGAAGAATGGTGTCTATCTTCTTTGTCTATTTTTTCTTTCTTCTTTAACCTAAATCAGCCCTGTGTTTTATCTGTACTCATATTGTTTTAACCCATATATCAGAATTCAACTTTTTACTCTATGTGTTATCTTGCTAAGATATGCTTTAGACTTAAAAGGGAGGTTCTCTCGAAAGCTTGTCATTCCAAAACGCTGTTAGCTCAATAAAAAGATATTACAAAATGCTATTTTCTTAAGATCGGAATATGCTTTTATAAATGTTCTGGAATGGAAGATCTGTGATATTCTCACACCCATAGGCATAAGCTGGGGTTTTCATATTAAATAATGAGGGGGGAGGGTGGACAGATCACTTTCAACCCCCTCTGTGTACCCACCTGTGGCTAGCGGGTGTTGGCTATTAAATAAAAACATGTTGGGAACATGCTAGTGTCCACCCTGCCACATAGTGGTGCCAATAATGAAATCTTAAATGGGAGGGTGGAGGGGGCGGATATTAGTGTCCACTGTGCCAATAGTAGGTAGTGGCTTTAATTATAATTCATAGGCAGTGGCAGGGCCTTTACATTAATTATAACCAGGGTGGACCTACTGTTCCCCACAGCCCCCACTTTTAGATGATGAGTGAGGCTATTTCTTTTTACATTTTTATTTTTGATAGGGCACAGCATAACAAACCAGTGCGCAAAGATATTTTCCTATAGAATAAACGGTAACGCACAAGCATAAATAAAACAGAAAATGTTTGAATACAGCACTTTTTATATGACTTGAGCAATAATAATCTAGCTAATTTGTTAGTGGAGATGAGAAGAAAAAAACACATAAAACACTGCTGGGTATACTGACTGATAATGAGTTTAGAATAATAGTTTAAAGCCACTGGGTTCAGGATAAGAACAAGAAACGATAAGAAAAATAGTTTATCAGAAGCTAAATACACAGAGTGCTGGCATAACGTTCTGCATTATCAGTAGATGGATAATCCTCTGTGTGGCAGGAAGTTTACCCAGTGCCGCAGATAGGCTATAGGTCAGTTCCTTGCCAGGACTGGTGTTCTTCCCCTCCATTACAAGCTAATGCAGATTCTGCAGGTTGTCTAGTTGCATATGGTGGATTAGGCCCCCAAGCACAGTGTCCCTATAACTACAGCTTCGGGCCTTAAATGCGGCTAGTGCCATAGTTCCCCCATCTCCAGGTGGCAGGATCATGTACATACAGGGTCCCCATCATTCGGGCACCCTATGGGTGTATGGATGGCTTCCCAGACATCACTCCAGGCTGGCCACTGGCCCTGAAGAGAAACATGGATGTATTGCAGTCAGCTGCAGTTGGTGTCGAAGTAACAGGAGGGGTGAGTACTGTGGATCGGTTGCTGAGTCAACGCCAGAACTCCTGGCATACTGCATTAAATCAGACTTCAAATGGCTTTCTCCACTCCTGGCTCCTGAGGTCTGATCAGCTGGGCTGAAACTCCAATGCCGCAGCCATCTTGAACACACCCTATGGGTCTCAAGGCACCTGTCCAGAGGATTTCCACCTCAGATTTGTAAGCCCTAGTGGGGACCGGGATAATCCCCACCAGTCCAAAGGGGAGGGGTGGGGGGGGGGGCTGTAACAGCACTGATACAGTGCACCTCAAGGTGATTGCTCAGCATTGGAAGACCAATCACTTCTTAAATCCTCCACTGTGGTAGGCTTGAAAAGCCGCAAAGACAAACTGGGCTACTGATCGGTTCAACACTTCGGTCCTGACCATAGAAGGTGGTCCAGCAGACAATTTCAGTCCTCCTGTGGTTGAAAACCTCTGATAGCTGTAGTAGTAGGTTTAGATACTCAATATTAGCCCAGTGTTGCAGAAGCTACAAAGGAACAAATCCAACCAGCTTGGGTTTCAGGTCCCGAAACCCTCCCCCATAAGTAGGGCTTTTAAATGGATATACCCCCTAAAATTGTGCAACAAAGTTTAAACCCCTGTGACTATGAGTCCCTAAGGTCCTAACCACTACCCCAAATGCAAAATGACTACCTACCACCTACCCCACCTTAAAGGGGACCTGTCAGCTCTCCAATCACTCATGCTCTTATAGAAAAAGCATTACATGTAATCTATAAATTATTTGAGCAGTTGTGCTAGCAAATGTTTAAGTTGGAAGACAGATTGATTTAAAAAAAAAAGAAAAAAATTGCCCATCTGTCAATCAATACTTCAGCATAAATGTTGAGAAATGACTGACAGGAAGAGCAAAAGTGACCCCCGACAGGAAGTCCTTCTGTTGTCCACCCATAGCAACTACAATTCATGCACTGTGGATGCTTTGGTAACTCTTAGTTGGCACTTAAGGAGTATAGGAATGAAGTGACTGATTTCACTACGTTCAGATGTCAGCATGCTGGCAACAAAGCATGCATTTATGAAATGTAGGAGGTTTCCCCTGCTTGGAGAAGCGTTCCTAAAGAGTAAAGACCGCAGGAGTAGCAAGGGTGGTCTGGAGGTATTTGTTACAGAAGTGTAACAGAAAATCATAGCTGGGGAGCAGAGGGTCAGGTATGTAGTGGAAGGTTCACTCTAATCAGGGCCGCCATCAGAAATTGTGGGGCCCCTAACACAGCTCAAGGTCTAGGACCCTGTGTGCCCGCCTCCAAGCCCCACCCCACAGGAATACACACACACAGACACAAAAGGACACAGACACACAGAAAGATACACACATACTAACAGACACAAATACTGAAACAGACATACATATAGATACATACACAGATACACACACACACACTGACATACAGACACACACACTGTTGTACATACATACTCACATACTGACACACACATACATACTGACAAACAGACATACATACAAACTGACATACAGACATACATACACATAAATATATACTGACATATATACATAATGGCATACATACACATACATACTGATATACATACATACATACACACACACACAGACACACACACAGATATATACATACACAGATACACACAGACATACTGACATACACACACAGACATACATGCATACTGACATACATACATACTTGAAGATATACACACTGACATACACACAGACATACACACACAGATATACTGACATACACATACACACTGACATACACACAGACATACACACACACACAGACATACACACAGACAGACATACACACAGACATACATACTGACATACATACTGACATACACACACATACATACATACATACTGACATACACACACACACACACACACAGACATACATACTGACACAGACATACACACATACTGACATACACACACAGACATACATACATACATACATACTGACACAGACATACACACACACACACAGACATA